TTCCTCATTAACCAAATAAACTCAATAAATTAAAAAAGATGGTCAAGAAAAGTTCTGATGGAAACACTTAACCCTAAAAAACTAAAGATCTCTTTTATCTTTGAGAAACTAATGCACAATCCCATCAATGTCACTTTTTTTGCAACCTTCAACTATTTAAGCTGGAAGCATAGATAGTTTTTCTTCATCAATATCAACAGCTGTTTTAACGCTTGATGTAAGCTCTAACATTTCCATTCTAAAGCAGTTTCTTAACTGTCAAAAAAAAATATAAAGAAGAAATGAAACCATTCTAAACAATGAACAGTATTTGAGTCAAATAAAGCTGTTTAGATCATTAGCATCTTGCACATGTGTTACTTAAAATTAAACAAGCAAAAACAATATTGTAAATAAACAATTACCAAAATAATAAAAAAAAATTATTACCAGCTGCTTTCAGTTACTTTTAGAAATGTGGCTTCACAAATAGTAGCTAAAAAGTAAGATGCTTGCAAGTAATTTGGCCAGTACATCAAATTTTTAATTGATTAGCCATAAAAAAAATTCATGGCACTCATGTTGTTTTTTTGTTAAAAAATTCAGCCAAAGCAAATTTTCTAAACTTTATTGCCATCTTTAGTTAAACAGTACAACAGTTATTAAAAATCAAAACAAATAATTATATAATATAACAATCTTCAGATGAACTTTTTTTTGTGATTTTTATTTTTTTAAACTGATATATTAGTCTAAAATTTTTTGAGTTTTATTTAGAACTCAATAAATTATAGACTAATATTTCAGTTAAAAAAAATAAAATTTAAAAAGTCTAAAATTTATAGAGTTTGATAATTGGTTAGTTAAAGAAAGTGATTTTTAAAGTTTTTGTGGTTCGGAAAAGTCTTTATAATAACATTTTTTTTTTTAAATATGATATAAAGAAAGAGTTAAGAATATTCGTTACAGTTTTATATTTATCAGTATTTTCATCCTTCATTATAGGTTGACTTTACTACAGCTAATAAGCCGTAGTAAATGCACCCTAAAGACACCCTAAAAACGACTGTAGAACTTAGTTTGTTACAGTTTTGGTAATAACAGTTCATATCTAATACTTAATATGTCCTCCTCGTGATGCAACTACACTTTTCACACGCTCTGGCATAGAATTCACCAGAGTCTGACACAAGTTCTTCAATTCTTCATTGTGAAACCAGATTTCCATGATAGCCTCTATCAGGTTCGGTTAACTGGTACAGTCGCGAGTTCTAAGTCTCTTCTTAACTATACCCCATAAATTCTGAATGAGATTAACATCAGGTAAATTGCCTGGCCATTTTAGAGTAATAATTCTGCTGTCTTCGAGGAATTCGGTGACTTTCTTTGATGTGTGACACAGTGCTAGGTCCTGCTGAAAATCCCCGTCACTGTCAGGGAGCTGCTTTGTCATCTCTGGTATCAGTTTTCTCCTCAGAACATCAACATAGCCATCGGAATGCATCATACCAGTCACAAGCTGAAGTGCTCCAGGCCCAGCTAATGTGAAACACCCCGAAAACATTTTCGTATCCGGATATTTGACATGCTGTTCGATGTGACCTTCACGTATTCGTTCCCCAATTGATCTGCAAATAAACTGTGACCGCTGTCCTTGGACCTCAAAATGAGACTCGTCTGGGAATATCACCTGCAAATAAATCAAATATTTAAAGTGATTATAAAGCTTGATATTGGTTTAGATATGTTTTTACCATAGTACACTGTAGGATTACCAATATGATATTCAAAAATGCCTGCAGAAGGACAGACAAAGAAAAAGACTTACTACACAGATTATTTGAAACAATTCACATCATCTTTGGTCATCTTTGGTCTATTGCATCATTGGTCTAGTCATCTTTGGTCCATTGCTTGTATTCCTTGACCCATTCGAATCTTCTTCTCTTTATAGCTGTTGTCAAAAGTTGGTTCTTGGTGGGCTTTCTAGCTGACCGCACAGCACAAAGCAGCCTCCGCCTAACAGTGCTTGAACAGTCGTTGACACAATGACTTTCAAGATCATTCCTGAGCTGGGCACTTGTCTTCTTAGGGTTCTTCTTACTTTGTTGTAGTAGAAACGATATATAAAAAAAAGAGTTTATTTACTGGCATACTGCAGTTAATTGTATAACTTTAATATTTAAGATTTAAAAAAATGATAAACAGCATTTTTTATTTAAATGTTAGTGTTGGTTTCATTAAAATATCATATGTCAACAAACTTGACATTGGAGGATTTTAATGCATCTTTAAGCAAGAATTTTGATATAACATATTGTTATTAATATTAAAGTTGTTATTATTATTATTTTCTAAGTTATAATTTTAAAAATATAATAATTTGGCATATAAAATAAGCCTTTTGTTCTATTGTATCTACTTGTGTAGGTCTAATTGTTTATATGCAATCCATTTGACGTACCCAATATGCATCTAGATTTTTATTAAACATTGTCACAGATGTTGTACACAATATTACAGATAGGAGACTGTTCTATAAATTTTTAAATTGCATTCTAAAAAAGTTTTTCCGGACATCTGTCTTACAAAACATTTTTTTCAATTTATAAGCATGACCGCAGGTTGTTAAATTAGGTTCAGTCATAACGGAGGAAAAAATATTAACAAAATATATAATCTATATATTATTAATTGGAAACAGCCATACTGACACACATGCTATTACAACTCAGATTAACTACTTAATGGTTTGTAATTACAATAATAAATATAAAATCCGTGCAGATGTATTTAATGAAATCCGTACTGATGGTATTTAATGAAAAAATAATGGTACTTAATGAAAAAATAAAAGGTTTGTAACTACATTTATAAAGATTGTGAATGCATTGGTAAGTTTCTGCCATATCATTACGTAAGAAACGATAGCTAATGCTTGTTAAACTTAGTCTAGTAGTTTTTGATTGTGAATCCATTCTGGCCAAAACCAGATTGACTAGACTTGCATAAAACATTTTTAATTAGTTGTTAATCTTTTTAAAGTAGAAACAGCTGCAAGAATTAAGGTGAGGACAAACTATGAAAACAAAAAAAGTACAAAATGTCAAGATATTGAAATCGACATATGATCTTTTGATCATTCCAACTTATTTATCGGCAGTGTTATTCTTTGTACTAATAAAATAAAAATAAAATTACTGTCAACGAAGATCCCAAAGCCTTTATTTTCTAGAGAGTTTTAAAGAGTTTTTAAGTATTGAGATTTGCATCAACAATTATATAAATGAATTTTGTGTTCGTTGGTCGTAAGAACATAACTTTACAT